GGGCCCCTCGCCCCCCAGCCCGGCACCCACCAGCCTCCACAGCTGGGAGCAGGGTACTTACCAAGTGGAAGTACTTTTCAGTGTCCAAATCCTTCACTGTGAAGCACAAGAGAAAGAGAGACAGCAGCTCAGCCAGGGGACCCAAACCGAAACCTGCCTCTGCAGACGCCCTCCACGTCAGGAGGTGTTTCGCTTTACCCAAGAATCCCAACACCGAGCTGGCGTTCCCACCCCAAGCAACCTCAGCATTTTTGTGTTGGTGGTGTTTATCGCCTTCTGGGGTGCATGGCGAGTACCTCAAGAAGTACTCAAAGTCTCCCAAGGGGTGTTTTAAGAGGGATCCAAGAGGGTGCAAGAGCAGGATCTTGCATATCGCAGAGCATCACGATACTCCTGCATCGTGATGCTCTGCGATGCCCTGTGATGCCCTGCAATGCCCCGTAGCCCCACGCGCCCTGGGCCGTCTCCCAGCCTCATTACTGGGGCAGCCGCAGCCCCGAGCGGCTCCTCGCTCCAGCGGGCAAAAGGACTCCCACCGCAGAGACAGGCTCAGTGTGAGCAGCCTGGAGACGGGGTTTGAAACTCCTTGTTCAATGTGAATTTTTGTCTCCCTTGGTCTGTTTTGACTCTCTGCATAGCCTGAAACCTCGAAATACGCCAGCAAGAAACTGAACATGCGTAACTGGGAGGGAAAGGGCTTTTCCAATCAAGTGGTTTTAGATCCTTCTTTTTTTTCACTTTCTTAGCACTGATTGCAAATCCCTAATAAGGATGTGAGATGAAAGGTGCAAACACCTCTAGCTTAAGGGCTGGGAAAGCACTAAGCACCCCAGCAAGTGGAGAGAGCAGGATACTGGATAACACATTTTTAAAGCAAAACCACAAGCATGACACTTGCATCTCCTGCAGTGTGTATATCAGCAAACTATACTTCCCAGACCTCCTTCATTTCTCCTACAGAAGGAAAAGTGGGCACAAAACCCCACTTTTTTGCAAGTGACACAGACAAGCCTTAAAGTTAGAAGGGGTGTGGAAGCTGCCCACTCTCCAGGATCAGTCCCAGACTCGGGGATCTATGACCTCTCCAGTGGCCACTGCAGCTTCGACCTGCTGCCCGTCCCTCGAGTCCGTCTGGAGCTCCCCTGCCTGTGCCTGGTGGGGAGCATTTGCCGCAAAGGGGAAGGGGCAGTGCACAGCCCAGCAGCAGCCTTGCACGGATGGGCAGTGACAGGCGGGGCTATTCAGCAGCACTGACATGGATGTCCTCGTGCTGAGGCTATTACAATCCTGGCCACCTGCGGGCCACCGTGCCTGCTCTGCCCATGCCCTGCAGAAGCCCTGCTCCCAGCTACCCGCATCCCTCTTCCCCCCCCCGGGTGCTGGCTGCGGTTTAGGCAATGCCACCACACATGGCAGCCATTACAGTGCTAAGTGTCTCCACTCCGCCTGTCTGTCTCGCCATCGGACCCACCTGGGACGGTTGCACTGCTGCTACTTGCATGGCAGGACTCAGACCCTTGGTCCCCGCAGGGAGTACGGGTGCATTGCTCAGCCATAGCAAGGGGGAGCCCTGCGGGAAGGAGGGAGGTACGTCTCCTGCCTCTCCACAGCTATCTCTGCCCCAAACATACGTCACAGCATGGGCCAAGGGGGTTTGCAGAAGAGCAGTGGCGACCCTGCAGCACCCAGAGGGCTTCTTGAGCTTGCCCAGGGCTGCTGGCTTGCCAGTTTGCTTGGCGGTGGCAGTCCCAGACCACGCTCAGTGTCTTCCCAGGCACAAAGCTGGCCCGACCGACGCCCAGCTCTGCCCAACATGCCACTACAAAAGGGTGCTCTACGAGTGTTGGCAACACCAGACCCAGCCCTGCACAGGCTAACACCACACCTCAACATCCAGGCAAGGGGGCTGGTAGATGGCTCTCAGCACCCCTGGCCAGAGACACCCCTCTAAAAACACAAGTGTTTCTGCCCAGTCACCAGCAACAGGGGAAGAGAAGTGAGACATTACCTCTGCTCAGCGTGGTGTCTTTCTTGTCCGACAAACTCATGGCCAATGACGCCCCTTCAGGGATCTGCAGAGGAAGGGAAGAGCAGATGTTGATGACAGGGGGCCTTAATGGTGCCTCCCATGGAACTGGGGACGGCCCCGGGGAGATCCCGGGAGCTGGGAGACACGGGTGCAATCACTGCTCTGCCATGAATGTCCTCTGCGCCTGCCCTGCCCCTGCTTCCCGGCTTGGAAACTGGCAGTAACAGCACTGCCCTACATGGAAAGGGTTTTTTAAATGCAAATGCAAATCTGACGGGAATCAGGCAAATACATGTATCCAAGATGATACATTTTTGGATGTCGACACCAGGTAATTTGAAGAGCAAAGAGTGTTACGCTGTGCAGGTGCTGTTTTGCCTTTGCCCAGAAGGGGAGAAGGAACCCAGCTGCTGCCTGGACCTGTGGGGCAGGTACCACATCTCCGTGCTGCAGCGCCGTCTCTCAGTGCAGCAGGGCACCGTGCCAGTAATGGGGCTCCACAGCATGGCTGTTACACAAATAGTAATATTAATAAGCACTCAGCTCCGTTTTTGATTTTCCATGCGGTGTTACAGACCAGTGAGGATTATGCTCCCAGGCATACCAGGGAATATGGAAATCATGTAAGAATTTCTGGTTTCATTTTATTTTAAAAGGTAAAATGGTCAAGAAAACAATTTGTTTTGCAACATTGCCCCACACTTTTGGCCTCCACTCCTTCATGGCATCCCTAGTCCCTGCTCTCGGGGCAGGCAGTGACAAT